ATATGTGACCCTGGACCACAAAACCAGTCTTAAGTGTCAATTTTTCGAAATTTACATTTATACATGATCTGAAAGCTGAATAAATAAGCTTTCAATTGATGTATGGTTTGTTAGGATAAGACAATATTTGGCATTTGAGATACAACTATTTGAAGATCTGGAATCTGAGGGTGCAAAAAAATCTAAATATTGAGAAAATCGCCTTTAAAATGATCCAAATACAGTCCTTAGCAATTCATCAAAATCAAAAATTAAGTTTTGATATATTCACAGTAGGAAATTTACAAAATATCGTCATGGAACATGATCGTTACTTAATATACTAATGATTTTTGGCATAAAAGAAAAATATATAATAATTTTGACCCATAAAATGTACTTTTGGCTATTGCTACAAATATACCTGTGCGATTTAAGACTGGTTTTGTTGTCCAGGGTCACATATGCTATGAATGTATCAAAATTTGGTTTGGATGCCTGCAGGTATAAGGTTTAGACTGCATGTAAATTATTTTAGATATAATTTTTATATTCAAGCAGCCTGTGTATGTGGGGGGCAATGTGTGGGTGTGTGTGTGCATGCATGGTCACCTTGCCTGACTCAATCTCATGCTGAGTGTCAAACAAGTGACCACAGGACACTAATGAGGACCAGATCTGAGCCAACTCAACATTCAACACCTACACCCTCCACACCACAGTAATCTGACCAGCCACAACTCCTTTACTGAACCTAAAACTAACAAAACTGAACCCAAGTAAGCTACAAACAAACACAATCAACAAACCATGCAAACTTTACAAGGGTCATGAACTGCCTCTTTTATTGTTTTGTACTGTTCTCTGTGGTCTACTTTTAATGTTACCAAGATTTTGACATCAAAAAAGCATAATTTAGAGGTAATAGGTAATATTTTCTGTCCTGTTTTGACCCCCCCCTCATCAGAACGCTCCATTTGAATAGGTGTGGCAAATTGTAGATTCGGAAGTAAACACCCACTGGGGTGATTGGCCAACAGTTGTGAATGTTTGACAGCCTACATCCTTCCTAGATGGACGCTTCTGCGATTCAAGTTAAAAATGCATAAATACTCAGTACATATCAAACGATCTGTAATAACACAGCAATAGTGCCCACATAATAAAAACACTTACTCACACTTGTGTGGTGCGACATCGGGTACAATTTAGTCAGCACGCCATCGTCTTTTATTTTCAATCTCTCTGAAAATCCTGCATCGAATTGTGCCTTGTTTGTAAATGAATCCGCCGTAAAATTAAGTGAACAAAGGACCAAGTTCTTACAGAAGCCATCTGGGACTTCCTTAAAAATAAAGTTCATCCACTCTTTTCTAATGTTTGCATCAGAAGAAAGGCAATGCAAAGACTGTGTTTTTCCACAACTTGGTTGGGACTGCACAGCATCGTGTTGTCTTCTGAGCCATAATTATCGTTTGGTTTCTGCGCAGACCTGTGTTTGCCAACACATTATTTGATATTTTCTCAAGATTTTGTGCTGTAATTATGTCAACACTGCTTGTTTTTAAACTTTTTTATTGAAAGAAACGGGGAGTGTTTATATTTTTAACTATAAGTACTATTCTGCAACATTCAAGATTCTGAATCTGTAAATTTTTCAATAATTAAAAACATTATTAATGGGAAAAACAAAATCTGTTTACAAAATCTGTTTTACTTCAGTTCCAATTATTTAAAATATATATAATTAAATGACTGTAAAATCACCCTGTGTCCCCTTTGAAGCTTGCCGAGGCCCCCCAGTGGGCCCCGGCACCCTGGTTGAGAACCAGTGCTCTAACCCCAACTAACCAAAACACCTATAACCCAAACAAAAACAAACTGCACTCAACAGACCTAAACCTGAAATAGAAAACAGCTCTGTAGTCCTATTATTCTTACAATGTACCCTAATCAAATGTTTGAAAGTTAAAAGCTCAGTTAAGATACATGCAAAACAACAGGACAAAAGACAGAGCATTTCAAATATGCACACACAGTAACACAGGGGAAGAAAGGCATGGTGAACTCATGAGATTAGAGGCAAAGGCAGATCTGATGGCTTTGTGCAGATCCAAACAGAATATATTCTCTTATATAACGGCCCAGCGCTAATCCCTCAACACCACTGCGCTGCAGTTGTTCTTCACTCACTATATCTGCCATTACAGACCGATTATGGCCATCATAACTGAAAAGCATGGATTCAGCTGGTGCTCACAAACACTGATTTGAAATAGCTTGATCTGGGGGATTATAAAGTAAATTAAGCCAAGCAGCAGCTGACATAATGAACAAATCATCCAAACAAACATATTTTCATGAGAAAGTGAATATGTCACCCTCAAAAGATGCACACGTGTAATGCTTTACAAAAAGACAGGATAGAAAATGTATGCATTTAAATTCATAATGCATTTACTGCCCAGTTGAAGGACATTGCAAAGCATACCTGTAAATGAAAAGAATCGGACTGATTTATGCAGGTTTCATATTAGTTCACTTAGCATCACGATTTGCAGTGAATTTAGTATTTCAGGTGAATTTCCCGACACACTGACCCAAATACACACTGTAAAAGCTTCTTAAGGACATCAAGACTGACTCCTTTCAATCAACATTTGAAGATTTAGCTTTCATGTCCATCTTAACCCACTATTTTATACATCAAAATGGTCATCATCTTATGTAGTATTTGTTTATGTAAAAAGGGACATATTTTATTAGCTTTAACCATTATTTCAATGCTCAGGTAGCCACCCATTGTGTGGCAGCAGCATTAACAAACTGATGTGAAGGTACCAATCTGCCTCCAATAACTGAGCATCGCTTTAATAGCTTAAACAATCAAATAACTACAAGCGCTGCTTGAATTAAACGGTAAGTAAACCAATACAAATCACTGTAACATATTAAACCTTTGAAGATATCAGATAATGAAATGCTTGGTCTAACACTGTTACACCGGTAACATGAAAACAAAGACTTTAATCTTACCTCGAACATTGGAGATGCTCCTTTCTCGGGCAGTGTACATCCCAGCAGCTCGGCGAGGAACTTTGCCATATAAATGTGTGTTGTATGTTTCGCCGGTAGATTGAAAACGCCGCTGGCTGCCTGGCTCTTGTTACCCTCACTACAGTGCCCACAGGTAGTCTTGTTCCAGCAGCGGTTTCCTACAGCACAACAGATCGATTTTTCGCTCCTTGGACTTTCCTTTCAGCATTTCTTTGACTCCGAACAAATAGGATTCATTTTAAAGGTGTGACAGCTCATTGTCTTTGTCTAGTCAAGAGAGCGTGGGTCTGCGTACAGCGGCTCGCGAGCGCAGTGGAGTCGCGCTCATTGAAAGCCACTTGTAATCCTTGTGTAAGAGAGGGAGGAATAGCTGAGGGGACGCCAGACACAGATGTAAAGCTCCGACAGGTTGCCTACCTCTTTCTGGAATCTCAAATAAGTTTTTGGCCTGTTATCATATCTAAGGATCAAACTTGCACGTCATGAGCCCCTTAGCCCTTTCAGAGTGCACTACTCGGTTTATGAGAACAGCTCACAAATGAAATAAACCTGTTGAAACCGAAGTTAGACGATATAGGATTATGCATTGCTGGGTATATTGCATGCAAATTAGTTTTTGGTTTAATTAGTGTCATTTTTGGAGTCACTGAGTCCACATTTTTTTATTTTGATTGAGGAGAGATTTTTTCCCTGGCCTAGGCATCGTTCTTTTGAGTCGATTGTTTACAGTGAATCAGTTGATCAGTTAGGCTAGACGGGAAATGATCTGAACGATTAGTTTAGAATTCGGTTCAACTCGTTGTCACACAACGGTTAACAACTCACTGGATGGGAAATGTATTAGTCATTATGACTTATATTTCAGCCTGTTTCTCGTACAAAGCAGACTACAAGTCATATAGACTACTTTTATTATAGGCTAGTGTTGCTTTTATGTGAATTTCGAAGTTTGAATACTCCAATCCCCAATAATTCTGACTGCAAGGAAAATGGCAAATAGTCAGAGCTGGGTAGTAGATTACTTACAAATTGCAGTTCATTACTGATTACAGATTACATGATGAAAACTGTAGTTATTAACGAATAGTAGTAATCTAGGTTACTAATTTTAGGTAATGTAATCTGACTACTTTTTTTATACTTTTAGATTGCTTTTTTTTTTAAATCAAACTTGTTTTAAACGTACCATTAAATGTTTCATATTGATATAAAAAAGCAAAAGAAAGAAAATATATTCCATAATTTGATGTCAACATCATAAAATGCATTAAACATTACATTAGTGAGTTGATAGAGAGTGAATAGTGAGTTGATAAAAACCTAATAATTAACTCAATCATAAAAATGTAAAATAAAAGCAATTTAAACACTTGAACACTAAAAATATACATATTGTATTTGTTTACCTGGATGTCAATGTGACCATAACCAACACCAGATAACTGTAAACCTGCAAATGTTTTGTTAAATTATTGAAATATTAACTACTTCTGTGATATTTCAACAAATATTTTATTTTAAGGGGTGACAAAAATGTTTGGGAATCCCTGTATTAAACACACATTAATAAACATGAAAACACTCAAAGTCTTCCAGGTTTTAAATATTTTTGTCCAGGCTTCCAAAATCAATAAATTATGAATAATTGATTGCCACTGTGTGAATAATATGTAATCACGTAATCCATAAAAAGTAGCTATAATCTGATTACAAGCATTTTAAAATGTAATATACTTTAATTTCAAGTACTACATTTTTGGAATCTGATTACGTAACCCAGATTGCATGCACTCAATTACTACCCAGCACTGCAAATACATCATTCAAATCTTTTTGTGTTAAATGGAAGAAAGAAAGTCACAGATGTTTGGAATGACACGAGAGAGTAAATGATGCCAGAACTTTTATCATTAGTTGAACTTTTTCTTTAAGAGCCAATACAATGTAGAATGCACTGGGCAAATTACTGAATAAATATTATAGAGTTATACAGATGGAGCATGATGTGAATAAGAAATTAGTAATTAGTAATTAGGTTAATAAGGTTTGTGATGAGGAAATAATAAATAGCATTATTTATACAATGGAGTATGACTTTTGAATACAGTGCAGTGCCGAGATGTTGGCTTGCGTTCAGATATAATGCTATTTGATGTTGTAATTCAACAGCCTGCTGATGCGTGACCTGAAGCCTGATGGAAGCAGTGAGAGCAGTCCATGGCTTGAGTGACTAGAGTCTCTGGAGATCCTCTTTCCTCATGTCCTGGAGATGACCTGAATGCGATCACAGTGAAAATCCTACTGTTAAAATCGAATGTGTTCCCAAATGTGTCCAGAGCTTTTTAACATAGACTGATGATGGACTGGTGAACATACATAATGCAAACAGAACAGCAGGATAAAGAGACTCGCAGTCTGTCCCTGGCATGAAATCATAATTCACACTTTAATGTTTATCAAATGTGACTGAGAATCACAAATTAAATCGTTGCCCAGGTCCAAGCTCACATGGGCAGTGGGTGGTCATAAGCAGGTGTGTGACAGTGACAGTGCTGGCAGGGTGTGATTAGGCACATCTGATGCAAATTGTGTTTTGCCAGTGCTGTCAGAAATCCAGCATCAAATGTATCATACGACTGGAGCTACTGCACCTCTGAACAAACCTTCACTTTATATCTGGCACAAGGAAGATTTCTATTACATTTAGTTTATTATGCAGCAGCACTCGAGCTGTAGGAACTTTGTGTAAAACCATGTTCTCCAGCATGATTTGAGAATGGGTTCCAATGAAAGAAAAAAAATCTCTTAGTAAAGGGATCTGGGGTATCTAATGCCGACTAATCCTTAATTCTCTCTTACACCCTGTGAACAGGGTCCCATCTGTTTGCAGTAACCTTTCAGGACCACAGTTTTGTTTTTTTAGATGGGCATGTGTGGCTTGATGACAAAAGAGGAGTTTAAATTCCCTTTCACGTGTGTTTTAGGGATTAAGGTTTAATATTCTATAAACCTGTGAGGACGTCCTGTCAGTCTGTTATTGAACAGCTATCAGTCATATGCTATATGTTCCGATATTGAAAATGAAATGCTGTAGAAACACTTTTGTGACTGTTGGATTTGACAAACCTGTGATGTATTCAGTGAATGTGTGAATGTTTTTTAGTGTGTGGTGTGATAGGTAGGCATCCAACTCGCTGTCAGACAGCTCTGTCATGTACTTAGCTTTAAATTCTCTGGTATCCAAGCAGCTGAAAGAGGTCTCCATGGTAATACTGCATTTGCTTTCTTGTGACATTGACTGCGATAATACAAAGAATGCACAGTTCCTTAGAAACACACACAGTTCTTCAGAACTTCAATTACACTGGGGTTTTTTTAAATCATAAATCTTTGTGCAATATTTGTAATGTTTAATGAACGGCTCTCTGGAATACAGCTGAAATTTTCATTGGTCAATAGCACTGTTCTGTAGTCAAATATTTTTTGTATAATATACAGTAATTGATCATTGCACACACACACACACACACACACACGATGTATTACACTAAAAAATGTATAGATACAATTTTCACTCAGAGATTGCTAAGAAATTTTACAAACCACTACAAAGAAACAGCAAGCAGCACATTAAATTACAAGTGAAATTCTGAAGTAGAAATACTGAAATAATATTTTCTTGTAAAACATATTTCAATAAACTATTTCCAATCGAAAAATAATTTTTACAGTACATTTGTACAGATATTTTAAATTAAGATTGTAAGATAACCTTTGAAAATATAATGCATTTTGTATATATTTGGCGTTTACAGTATATTTATTAGTAGTAGTAGTAGTAGTAGTATTACTTTTTTATTGCTACATTTAATCCAATATTGCCATTTCAATCACAATCCCCCCTCTTGATACCCTTGTGGTTTGTGAACCCTATTTTAAAAACCTAAATACTTACTGAACTAAAAACATCAGATGAGGAAAATAACAATAAAAACATTTTTTTTATTTTTTTTTATAATTGTCTTTCATTTTCATTTGTGTGTGTGTTCTGTCTGCGAGGTCTCCAGCATCATGGAGTGGGTCTCATTGGAAGGAACAGGCCCCGTTGAGACAGGTGTGCCTCTGCTTTTCATGTGCAGGTGGTCTGCTGTTCAACCGGCTGCTGCTGACTAATTACACGAACACATATGCACACACATTGACTAAACCGCTCAACATTTTAAGCCTCATTTCAGGTCGCTTGACTGAAATGGCCATCCAGAATGCCAAACGCTGCAGCTGATAAGAAGACAAAGTGTACATGAGCTCCAAAGCGTGCAGCAATTTTAATAAAGGGGTTTTAGACAGATTCCATGTTGTGCCCTGAAGATGCTCCATATGGTCTCACAGCTGTAGGGTGCAGGATATCATGTCTCACAGCACACAGTCTGACCCCCTGCTATAAAATCTCTTCAGGGACGAGTTCAAGAGGGTTAAAAAAAAAAAGATGAAAGGAAATATTGAAGGCTTTCACTTGTGCATCTGCATGTGGCAGTAAAAACCCGTCATGTGGGAGATTGTAGAGATAAACTCATACATCCTTCTCTTTCCGGCTTTCTCTCTCACTCTCTCATCCCTCACATCCCGCTGAGATGCTTAATGCTGCTGCAAAGTGCCAGACACTTACAACAGAAGTTCTTTTTCTCTTTCTATCTCACAATTGCGGATATGCTGTGTGCCAAACTGGCATTGGGATAGGCCCATAAAGCAGTGGTGACTGCAGCAATGACGCTGCAGTGCAGCAGCAGCTGATTTATCGCCCCCAGCTGCTCTCAGGGTGAGGGCAGGCCCATTAGCAAATGAGTTTTAATTCTCACTGGCAGTTCATCCCTTTCAAACCCGGCACCTCTCGTTTTCTATTCACTTGCACTATAGAGATGCTGATGGCACACATTCGGGCAATGAGGAAAGACAAACTTGTAGGTTTTACACTGAACGTAAAGGGCAAATGAAGCCACTGGGCAGAGCTTCTTTGAGGCTTTTTGAAGTTTTGCATTCGCTGTCAGCTGTCATGTGTATTTTTTGGCTTTGATCTTTTTTTTCTATGAATTTTGGCAGCTACGTTTTTTTATCTTCACTTTCATACTGATAAGCCAAGTGTGAGATGAGACGCAGGATGTGTGTGTGTGTGTGAGAAAGAAGGGGAAAAACATTATTAATATTAATGTAACCAAATACCCACATCCCGGTCCACACACTAAGATAAACATGCATACGGCACGCTTCACATCTGTGCTGCATCTCAATTTATTTCAATAATTCAGAGACTCACAGCCCCCATCATCTGCAAGGTTACTTCCAGTGCATTAATGAGTAATGTCAAAAACACATCTGTGAAGGGAATCAGGGATATAGATGCAAACAATTGGCCATAATAGAGGAAAACACCTCTGATGGCCTCCAAACTGCATGTGGACACTTTATAGTCTAGACAAGGGGGTATTAAAGGGGTCATATGAT